TGACGTACTCGTACCTTCCAAGAACAAATACAATAGCAACGCAATTACTAATATCATGGGCAGTTAACATAGAGAAGAAATGTTTAGTTAATGGTGTTATAGTAAATATGCAAATATGCCGGAAATTTTCATTCTTGACGATATAACAAATGCCCAAATCGTGTGCTGAGAAGCATTCATCAGCTTAGGCTAATCTCTTCAAAAATTAGATTCGAAAGTTTCCTCGCGGTTAAAACGCGACTCAAAACTGCCGTTTAAAAATACAAAACGCATGATTGTATGAACAATTGTGTCGCACATTGTCATACATATATTCTTTTCTTTGTGTGAACAAAGAGGAATTTTTTAATTTCCAGATATTCTCTCACATTGAAAGATTAATTAAGTACGACAATGTAATCAAAATTGTAAGCCGCGTAGGATTCACATTCGTAAATTAGTAAATTGGAACATATCCCATTGCCGAATCGATCATTCACAAAAGCATTTTTTAAGATTTAGATAATCTAATTCTAAGATAGACTGAAATATTAAAACCATATCTCTCCCAGTCAAAATGTAGTGTATTACATGTACCTCTTGCAAACTGAAACATCAAACCTTTCTCGTTTATTGAAGATAAGAGTGCTTCCTTCAGTAGCGATTGCATAGAGGAATGAAAAGGTATTGATGTTGATTCTGTGAGAGAAACAAAGTAATGCACTGCATATATGTGTGAAACGCACATTTGTGAAGATAAAAATCTACAATTTACCATATATGACATGTTTCACATATTCAAGTACTTACTGATGTAGAAAAAATAACAGAATGAAAAATCAACTAAATAACTTTCTTTAGGTTTACAAAAGAGAGAGAAAGAGAGATGAAAATTTCCGCTCACAAGAGACAAGAAAATTGCCATACTGCCAAATTGACAATTATTAATGCTGTACTCGTTATGAACAGTAGGGATCTTCTCATTTTACCTATTATAATAATGTTAGATAGATCATAAGGAAAAAATTGTTTTAAGGCTAGATTATAAGCGATGCCATTAGGGAAATGATGATGAAAAAATGATTCGAATGAAAGAAGGATGAAAGGAAACGGTGCCTATATTCAATGAAAAGTGCACAAATAAATTTGTGTGCACATTTCTATAAAAGAAAAAAAACTAATTTACATAGAAGCACTGTATGTTGAATTCGTGTATTGTTCTTCCGAGCCCTCGATACCTTTATGTACAAAGTTCCACCAATGTAGCTTTCATCTCGCGCGAATACTTCTATTGTTCTTTTAAGTAAATAGTATATCATAAATTTATTTGGCTTTATATCAGTTTGTTTTTCGATTTGTACAGTTATATGGATACTTGTATCAGAACTCTCTCTAAGTTCATTCATAGGATATTTACATATATTAATAATACATTAAATTCATCAACATTTGTAAAATATTTTTTCTCTTTTCTTAAATGCCAGATCAATGCCAAGAAACGCACATTGTTACACAATATATCTACTACAGTAAAAATATTTAATAAGTTTATGAAATTTTTTATTTTATAAAATCAGCATTATGTTAATGAATTTGTGAGAAATTAAAATATTTCTTATAATTATAAATTATAATTATAATTATAATTATAATTATAATTATAAATAATTTATTAAAAACAAATGCAATAATTTATTAAAATTAACTGCTTTGATTTTAAAATCATTGTGAGTGTACTTAATCCTACTTTTTAAAGTGTTTATTAATGCATTTAATAGTTAATAGTTGATTTTATCATTTTATAATTTCATAAAAGTCACTTTTTATAACATTTCCATTTTACAGAGATAGCTTTGACTATACATATTGCAATTTAATATTGCAAGCACTTAAATCTATGAAGACAATAATTGTGCACTTGTTTATATATTCCGTATTTCTAAATTTGTATAATATTGTTCGATACATCTTGCACCTAACACTTTAGAAATTACCGATTTAAAAAAATGTACATGCAATTACACATATGATGTTATTTATGCTCAGAAACTTTATCAATTATAGATTTGATTTTTTGGCATTCTTTTGACTGTAACTATCTATGCTTATGATACATACCTGACATGTGTAAATACATCTTGTCATGTCACATTTTAATGGCAGAGCTCTATGATTTCCATAATTTCCATGATTTTATACAAGTATACATTTTTTTCCATTAATTAGTGGGTCGAGGGTCAGGAACTGTGACTATCTGTACATAAATGCACCGTCTGTCATTAGCAACATTATATAAATATATAAAAAATGATATATATATAAAATGATGAATAATATATATATATATATATATACATAGATATATATTATAAATATCATAAAAAAGATGCGAGTGTGCATAAAAGACATGGAGATATTTAAAAATATGTGAGTATTTTCCAGACTATACGTTAAGTTTTAAAAAAAGAATGTGTAATCTACTCAGTATGTTGTACCAACTCATAATATTTAATTCTTTAAATAACTTTTATTCATGATTTTACACTTTTTTATACTTTTTAAACTATTGTTTTTTGATTAAGTTTATTGCATTGTTTCGACATGCTTCTCATATAATAGCTTTCGTGTAAAATGTTATTTTATGAATTGGAGAAATACTAGAACGATATTGTTTTATTATTTAATTTGAATATTTTTTCCGCTAAACAAACTGAGGGCCATCTCATATTTGCAATTAATACATTTTTGCGCTTCAAAAAATAATTAATTCATTTCATTACCATTGAAATATGTACGTATATATTTACATATATAATTATATCAAATTTTTCACTGCCTGTTGAACCATTTATAAACCATGACATTTTTCATTAAATTATAATGTAATAAGAATAATTATACGACTACTTGTAACAATAATAATAATGATAATACTAGTTATAAAAATAATTCTACGATTTGCCTTACGTCTCAAATTTCACTTAAAACTAACACTTTCAATTTTTACATTGATGCATTTTTGAATTATCGAGTTAATTTTTATCATGTTGGCAGCCTTTATTACGACTCGATAATATTTGGCCTTCAGAATGTAATTCTAACCTATTTACATCAACATGCAGTTTTGAGATTTTTTTCTATATTATTTAGGGAAGAGTGTTTATTTATAAAGCATTTTTCATATAATTTGTCTCTTCCCTTAAATACAATTTCACATTTATATGTTTATTACTTTAATCAAAATTAAGTTTAATATATAATATATTTATTAAACATTTTTATGTATTACAATTTTTATTATTGTATTACATATTTATAATTAAATCATATTTTTAAATACGCTACGAGAAAAGTTGCAATATCTTTTGTTTTCTGATACTACGTATAATTTTAAAGCTGCAATTAGTATTTAAAGATTTGACCAAATTGATTTATTCTTCAGGATATTGCTAACAAATTATTATACATGGTGTATGACTGAATGTTTATTAGCTTTAACAATATATGAGTGAAGACAGACACAAAACTCAAAACAAGATATTAAAGACATTTTAATAATTATATGTTGTACAATTATATGTGTCGTAAAGTTTCATACCTACAAATAATATGAATTTATTTCCATTGAAATATGTTTATCTGATACTTTGATGTATTGTACAAATATTTAAAAAAGTTTACAACACATAGTTATTTTAACTATTTATTTTGATAAGGTAATATATTTACTATGAAAGTGCATTTCTTGATACACAAATATAGCTCTTAAATTTTAAAAGTCAAACACCTTGTATACATCTTGTGGTTTTTATTATAAAGTTTTATTATTCTGGTACTTTATAGTTTTTATCATAAACTTTTATTTTTCTGGAAAAAAAGAGAAATTAAAGACTTTTGCTAAAAATAACTTTTAAATATCTCATTAGGTACTCATCTGTAATAAATCATTAAACATTCATTCTCGTTACATTTTTCTAATATAAATAATATAAAGTATTAAGTTTTTTAATAGTAATTTGACAAAACTTTTGTGGAAAACTAATCGAGATTTTAATGTAATTATCAACATATGTACTTTGCCAATTTTCTTAATGTGGCTTCACATTGAAATTTCAGATTAAATTATGTTAAAAAAAAAAAAAAAAACGAAATTCAATGATTGTATAAATATATTACTAGTTATATATATAAGTTAGTGTCGTTAATCTATAATCGCTAAAATTTACTGTTATAAAGAAGTCCACAATATTCGTGCATTTATAATAATTGTAATACTGCTAAGTTTTTTTACATCATTCCAAAACTTTCGTACATATTGTACTTTTGTAGCATGATTATTGTTAGTCTTTATAATTTTTTTTATGACCTAAAATGTATAGCAATATGTGGTTTGTTGTATTCTTCTTGAACCTTCTTCTGAAAACGTACACAACTCGCGTGTGTCTTCGGAGCACTTTTGATAATATAATAAAATACGATCGGCTGCTTTTTATATAGCTCCGTGCAATATATAGCGAGTTTATTACTGTGTATAAGATCGCCTCAATTTCATCTGTAGATGAATCAGTAAAGCGACTGTCGCAGATCCGAAGAAGAATATGAATTTAAAAGCAAAGAATAAGTCAAATACTAAATATCGTTGAAAGAATGGGAAATTATTTTGTGATACTTTCTTGCCAGAAAGAATACAACAGGCTGAGGTAAACTGATGATAAATGCAATGTTACTAATTAACAACTATACAAAATAAATATTGTGTAATAGGAAGAGAGTCTGTTGACAAGAAAAAAATACCGTGTACATTATGTATTGCCTTGCGGCATTAATAAACTAGTACTAACGTAAAAAAAATTTAGCTTTTTTCACATAAATATTCATTTCAATTTCCTTTGTTCAACAGCCTTCTAGAAAACGCCATCATAAATAAATCCTATCAAAATGTTACAATATAATAAAGGTTTATAACGATTTATTTTATAGAATACTTAAAAGATACTGTCTAACGTTATTATATACACAAATATTTCGCAAATATTTATTAAGCTATCAGGCATATATGAATTTGAGATGACAGATATTATATAGTGTGCTTACAAATTTACAAATTTATATTACATTACTTGGTTGATTGAAATTATTCGTTGGAGGACTCCTGGTCATTATCGAAGCAACCTGTAGCAAAATGAATTAAATAAGAATTATATATGTACATGACAAATTATTTTGTAAATTTTTATATATGAATATACATTTTGTATCACTTGTTTTCTGAAGAAATCAGTGGTGGCTGTTGAAATGTTTTGATCATTTCCCATTTTACATTTAACATAGCCATATAGATTTGCGCCATTCAAAACAATGGCAATGCTGACGAGTAAAAGCCACTTGAATTTAAAACCAAATAGTGCAACAATGAATAATATTGACCAAAAAAGTGGACACAAAATTAACGCCAACCAAAAGATTCGCGCCTCTGCTGCATTAATACGGTTCTGTTGTGCACCCTGAAACACAGGGTACATAACAGGCATTGAACCTATATATTGGACTTATATTTAACTGATTTAAATTACATTAGCTATATTTCAATACATATCTAATCAGTAATAATAATCAGAAATCCAATGGAGCATAATGCTATTATGTAATTATCTATTTATATTCTGTAAAGGAGTGAACGGTAATTTCAGAAAATGTCAAGGATATAAACATATAATAGTTGGTGAACCTTGAACTATTCAATCTATTTAAATTAGCATTTGTGCATTGAAACATGTCAAATAAAAAAATATAATTAATAATTCAAAGAGCTAAATTTTGTAATATATCTATAACTGAAACTTGTGCGATATAACATGCAATATAATATGAAATTATATGTGTACATGAGCTTACATCTCTTTCAAATATATAATTAAATTAATTCTAGTTCACTGGCCAGAAAAAAGCAAATCATTTTATCTATAAATAACACTTTGTTATCAATTATTAAAAATTTAATAAAAAGTCAAATAATCTATGTTGCTATTATATAATAACATAAATCAAAATATATCTTAAAACATACATAATCAAGCAAACCTTTTTAGACTCAAAAACCCAATGACTTTTGCCATCGTCATCCACATAATTCCACCATCTAAGCCCAACCATTAATCTTCCGGTAATATTCTTAACGGTCCAAAAATCCATTGACAAAAGTAGTACCACTGTTACAAAACTCGCTATAAAGCTATTTGAAAACCAACCACAAAGCATATAAACTACTATAGCTGCTATCCTGAAGGCCAAGTGAAACAATGTAATGTATGGATGTCTAGAATTTTACAAAAATACAATTCACATTTGCATATTAAAACATGTATATGTCTTATTATATCTTATTGTATCTTACGTACTTAAGTTTGTTGGCATTTTGAGCAGCCTCTTCCTCTCCGAAAGCAATTGCATCATCATCCATCAGTAAAGGTACCTAACAAACGAAATAGTAGAACATTCTAAATAGGCATATCGAACATACATTTATCTCGTTATATCTCTATATTTAACGCTTTACCCCAAGAACTCATGCATATATTTATATTTGTATGACGTGGATGAAAGAACTTAAAACGTGAAATGTTTCTCGAAAACGAAGGAAACGTAACTCAACGAAAGCTTCGAAGACACGTTTATCCACGCTCTCTTTTACAAGGCAATTAAAGTCGGAGTACAACTATCATATATACGAACCCTTCTTTCGCTAATATATACATACGGAAATGTGTGCGCAAGCGAATGTCAGAACAACGACTTTCCACCGACTAGAATTCGCCAACTAGAATTATTCTCGAGATCTCCTCCGCAATAAAACACGACTCTTATATTTCGCATACGAGACAATCGAGCGTATACTTCGGGACTCGCTACGACTAAAAAAAAAAAACATGTGGCGTCAGTATGCGGTCGATTGTGCAAAAGATCATATGACACCTACCGTTGCGGACGCCATGTTTGCACGCGTTGACAATTCAAGTGCGTCGTCTGCTCTACGTGCTATATTCATTACATATCGACAGTGGCGCCTCGCGGTCGAACGTCGCGGATCACGTCGCGCTCGCCGGCGAAAAAAACGCTCCGTTTTCTCGAAACGCGTTCGCGTTCCGGCGTTTCACCGGAACGGACAAGCGCCGATCAAGGGAAGTACCTTGACATCCTTGATAACCGGTACGGACGAGGCCTCGAGACGCGGCGCCGACACGGGCGAAAGACGCGCGGACTCGCCCTCGTACATACGTGGAAATCGCGCGCGACCCGCCCATTGGCCGGCGTATCGGCGGAAGTTGGCCGCGGCACTGGTGGCCGCGGTGACGTCACGAACGTGACCAACCCTGCTTATCGGCGCGAGGGAGAAATCGAAGGCGCTCCCGCCCGCGCTCGCGCACGCATGCTCGCCTTCGGCCCACGTATAGAAAAGACGCGTTATTTCGTGTGTGCGTGCGTGTGCGCGTCGCGTGTACGCACTACGCACGTCGCGCCTGCGGATTCGGTAGCCTCTCGATCGCACGGACGAGACGACGGACGACATCGGTGGAGTGGCAAACATCACATGTGTATCGCGCCACTCGTAGCGCCCAAGTAGTGGTGTAGCCCGGTAGCGTGGTAGTAGTGATCCGATGTCCGTGCATCGGTGGTGCGCGCGCGGTGGTTGAGATAAGCAGTGCGGGGGACTGAGTGCATGTAGGACCGCGAGACTTGGCTCGTTCGACTGTCGCGTCCGTCAACGCACAGTTCGCCGTAAGAGACACGCGTTGCGCGTCGATCGAAAGCGGCTCTTGCTCCCGATGTGACGGAAGCCCGCGCGCGATGCTCAAGAATTACTCGCCGATCCTCCAGGCGTTCCTCGGGACCCTGTTCACGTGGGCTCTAACCGCGGCCGGCGCCGCGCTCGTCGTCGTCATCCGAGGCAAACAGGTGAGTAAACATTCGCGTTTTAGGCAACGTGTTCGTGATTGAGGCATCGACATCCGGCACGGCCTGATGCGACTCGTCCTGATAACGCCGCCCGAATAAACTTAACCTTATCGCGTCTGCTCGCGATGCGCGAGCCAGGATTTGCTCCGTTTCTTCTTTATTGCACTTATTTTCTACACTTTTCCGCGTTTTAAATGCGAATTTTTCCAATCGCACTTTGCAAATCTTTCATTTTCTCGATATACTTGTTTAATTTTGAACACTAAAATATAAAAAAATTATAGCAAATGTAAAGAAGCATTTAATTTATTCTTTTCATTTTTTCTTGTTTCGAAAATGTGAAGCTCGATCGTTTAATTTGAAATATAGAAATAGTAGAAAAAAATATTGAATGAATTATTGAATAAAATTATTGAATAAAATTAATTAATTAAATGAAAATAAATTAATATCAATTAATTTATTGTTATATGAAAGAAGAAAAATATTTTACTCAATATATACATTTATAAGTATTCTATATCGCTAAGTAAAAAACACAGTATATATACATATTAATGTATGTATACATATTTACATATCAAAGTATATATACATATCTACATACTAATTACATTTATTTTCTTCCTTACTTTCCATACTTTTAATTTGAATTTTTCCATCTAGGAATTTCATATGAATCTTTACTGAATTGCATTTGAAAAAATATTTGATTCTCTGCATAACTCATATGAAGAGAAGAACGTAAAAGAAGAAATTCGATACTTCTGTTGGCATGCAAATTTCAATTATCGAATTATTGCTGAGCGTCGATTATTTCTCGAGCGAGAATTTCTGAATAAATGCAAAAACGCCGACCATTTGCGTAAGCGGAACTGTTTTGGCTCGATTCTTCGTCGTATTTAAATTTAGAGCTGGTTCAATGAAATCGCTGCAACGATTCTCGTTGGCGAACTCGCATAATCCGCCGCTTCCTCCGTTCGATTTAATTCGCGCGCGTATTATTACGAGAGCGGCTCGTATCAGACGCTCTTACATTGTTGAGGCGTGTCTAGATTCTGCATGCATAAGATAGTGCATATACAGAAAAGTTAATCGATAATATGAAAGAGGTGTCTCTCTCAATTGCCTCTTATGTAATATTGAAAATTATCTATGCACATGGAAGTGGGAGGGGCTTCATACGTATCTTTTTCGATAAATCCATGGAACAGCTCATCGTACAAATTCTATTTATTTCACTAACAGCTGCCTTAGATAGTTGGTCTCTTTTGCATAATTTTATTAATAAACAACTTTTTTTATATAACTCTAGACACATGGAAACTTTATTTATATATGTCTGGAATACTATAAAATTGTATTAATGCATAATTTGATAAACGCGTACATTACATAATGCTTATAAAGAAATATGATATATATTGTACAATGTGTTTGTGAAGCTGGTGCGACAATCTACGAATTTCAAAAAAATCCTAAGAGTTCTGATAGCACTTTTCATAGTTCCTGATTTCCTTCCTTTTCAAAGTACCAAAATGCATTGAATATCATTATTTTTAACAAGAGTTCCTGATAGCTCTGTTCAGCCTACATATGCAATTTCAAATCGATATTCCAAAAATTAATAATTTTAGTTTTTATCAGGAACTGTAGAATTATGAAAAGTGCTATCAGAACTGCTAGTATTTTTTGAAATTCGTAGATTGTCGTGCCAGCTTCATAGACACTTATACAATATATTTCGTGGTGTAATATATAAAATTGTTGTAAATGAAAGTCTCTTATAAATTTATTAGTTAAGTTTTCTTTTAAAGATATTTTATTATTGAAAACTGTGTGTGAGCTATAAATAGCGAAAATTTGAGCTATAAATCAAATATGTAAACAAGAAATAAGAAAAAATCTAACTTATTTAAATTATTATAGATGATATTCTATGACAGTAGCACGTATTTCTAATAACTGTTATCGAACGAATCCATTTGAAACATTTTTTTAAATGATCTCAAGAATGTTCCTTTAATTTGTTCATTATGTATATTACTCTATATATTTATTATTATTTGATAATAATCTTAAAGAGAATTAGTTCTATTATATCAAACATTCTGTTATCTACAACATATTTGTCTGTTGTTTGATTATTTGATAATCTTAAAGAGAAAAAGTTCTATTACATCAAATATTCTGTTAGCTACAACATATTTATCTCTCTTAACTGCATTAAATTCCAATTCTAACTTTCCAGATTATATGTAGATTAAATTATATGTAGGTTTGTGTATCTGTATAAAATAAATCGTTTTTTAATAAAAATTGCTAGAGAAATTTAATTACAAAAGTCAAATATATTCAAATATGTCTAAAATTCAAGTTAAATTTTAATATCAAAAAACAAGTAAATCTTTTATGGTATTATTAGAACGCTGATAACTGCGTCACAGATTTTATTTATTTTTAAAATTACTATTATGATATCTCTACAATCGCTGTTTCATGCTTTTCCTTGTTCTTTAATCTGAATACGATAGTAAGATAGCAAGTATATTTTTCTCTTGGTATCATATGGCTGATATCAAATATTTTCACGGAAGTGGCAAATATCGAATATGCCTTCTTAGTATAGATATCGTTCGATGTTATTTATCGCACGTGTATAAAATAGGAAAATTACATTACGTAAAAAAAAAATCTATAATAGGCGCATCGAATACTTGCTACCATTTGCAAAAAGGAATTCAACTTTTTAATGTAAAAAGATTTTTATAATATCTGTAATATAATATTTGTTTACAATATAATGTAGTGTATATATTATGTTTATAAAAAATATTTGTAATTTAATATAAGTTAACGAGATGCCTATTTTTGTTATTAGATGAAATTTGCGAATTATAGCAAATAGATTATGTGATGTACATAGTATACATATTAATAATAAATAAATAAATATATATATATATATGTATGTATATATTAAATAATATCATCAAATTAATTCGATAGAGGTATTGTATAATATTAATCACATTTACATGATCTTTTTCTATACATCACTTAAAAATTAATCTCTATCCTCTTGAACTGCATTTCGAGTGAATTAAAAATGAAAAGGATTGCTTTAGACATTTTCTAGTTAATATTTGAGAAAATCTTGACATTTGTTTCATGGATTGTTTATACCTATCATGAATTTGATTGTCGAGAGATAGTCGACGCAGCTGATAATATTCCATGGACTGATAATATGATACTGATATAAAACGTATTACTTGCGCAATATTGACATAATTTTTGATATTTTTTTATAAAGCACATGTATGTCTTTAAGTAAATACATGTATACCACACCTCTGACGTTTTAAAGCTAAATCAGAGTTGCAAATCATCTTGAACTTGGCAAAGCCAAAGAGAAGTGAATATATATATATATATATTATATATATATATATATATATATATATATATATATATACGTATATATAATTCTAAAAGAAATTTAAATTATTACTGCTAATTGTTTCTATTGTTCTATTAATGAATTCAAAGACTTCCAACAAAATCAATCTGTAATTTTTCTGAAGATAGCGTGACAATTTTTAAATATTAAATGAATAAAAATTGGAAGTAGAAAGAGTCTCTGATGTGATAAAATCACAAAGTTATTCAGAGTCTAAAATTACAAAAATTGTCATAAATCACATAAAGAGACGCATATAAATATATGTACCATGGGTGCATTTTTAATAGCATGAAAAAATTGCACGAATTATAATTATTAATTAAATGTTAATGATAAATTAATTCATTAAATGCTAAATTCATACATTCTCTCATCTTCTTTATCCAAGGAACAGCTCATATATTTATAATGATTTGTTTCCGTTAGCGTAAGCTGCTCGATGTCAGCCTGGGGTTCGCTGCCGGCGTGATGGTGGCTGCAAGTTATTGGTCATTGCTAGCACCAGCGATCGAAATGGCAACCGAGAGCAAGACGTACGGAGCTGAGGGCGAGTACGCGTTCGTGCCGGTCGCAGTTGGATTTCTCGTCGGCGCGGCATTCGTATACGGGACGGACGTGTTGATATCCACCCTCGGCATTCAGTCCCCCAATGTGCTTTTAGCTATGCAATCAGTTGGTACGAAACAAAGACGCAAGATCATTGCGAAACTAAAGAGTGACGAGGACTTAGACAATGATTATGATCCGTTTAACGACGTACAAATTTCCAGTGGAAAGATGTACACTCGCGTCGAATCGACCACGATCGATGGTATCTCATTTTCTTCTCGTAAAATCGCAATTTTTTTTCTCTCTCTTTCTATAGGCTTGGAAAATGGGATCAGTTCGTGACATATATATATACTATACATGTGTATACATATATCTCTGTATATGTATATAAACGTCCGTATACACTCGCCCCTCTTTGCTTTATCGCAGACATAACATGGTTTTTATCCAGGAATAAGCATTCTCTCAAATTTTTTGTATGCTATTTTCATGAAAAGTAATGCATTCCATATTAACTTGTTTTAAGATACAATAGTTGAAAACTGTTTGCATGTAGCATGATGAAAATTGCTTACATAAAAAATAATAGTATAGTAAAAACTGCTTAATGAAAATATCATAATGTAGGCAAGTTCAGTTTATAATTTTTTGTTTATCTGATAGAATATCTGATATAATCTTTTTTTTCAATAGAAAAATTCAAAGAGACAAAATATATATTATATGTATTAATATGTAATATTATACATATTAATATATGTTAATATGTGATCTTACATTTATTATAACCATGTATTCATTATATACAATTATATTATATATTGTACGTGTTAACACTATTATATTTATTAAAATATAATAATTAATGTAATAATATTAACGGGTATAATATATGTCAAAATTATGTCGATATTGAATCTTTATTTTATCTATTATCGAAATGAAAAATCTTATCTTTTTCAACATAATAATTAAGTAACGAGCACTGAGAGCCCAATAAACGCGGATGGCAATGCGTAAATTTTTACGAACATTAATTGTTCGCGAAAAATTTTTTTTTAAGACATATGCACATATGCCAAGTTATAGATTCTCTTGGTTTGAGACTTCTATAACAACCCCTTTACCCCCCTGGAGAGATGTAGACAGGAAAAATATCGGGACGAAGTCGCTGAATCGAATTTTTCCTGTCTACATCTCTCCAGGGGGGTAAAGGGGTTGTTATAGAAGTCTCAAACCAAGAGAATCTATAACTTGGCATATGTGCATATGTCTTAAAAAAAAAATTTTTCGCGAACAATTAATGTTCGTAAAAATTTACGCATTGCCATCCGCGTTTATTGGGCTCTCAGTGCTCGTTACTTAATTATTATGTTGTTTAAATACATAGAGCCGAATTATATACCAATTTACTTATCTTTTTCTCTTTCTCTCTCTCTCTCTCTCTTCCTCTATTATCTTTATCTTCATTAAGTAATTAAAACTTGCTGTGTGATTAAATAATTAATTAAATTTAAATATAAAATAGGATATATTTGAAATGCCTATGTAATATAAGTAATATATAAAGTAATTTATCAGAGATCATTGCTTATTCCAAACAAGTGTCAGATAAAAATTGATATATGTTTTCCCTTGTGAAAAGTGATGTTTGATAGAAATATGATTAATTGATATATGCATTTAGTTCAAAAATATGCTTTGTATTAGCGTATGCATGATGTTATTCGTAGAGAAATATACGTGGGACTTAAGCACAGATTCAATATAAACTTATAAATAAAAATATCCAATTCATCTATTAAATACATCGTTTAAACTGAAATTTTAAATCTCAAATGAGTGGTGTGATTAAAAGTGTCAATATATAACAAAAACTCAAGAACAGAATTCAAATAATAAAAACAGAAAACCAAGACAATAAAAATATAATTAAAAATACTTAATCTAAACTTCTATCATTAATACAAAGTGCACGTCCGCGTAAAATATTATCTAGTAATACATACATCTAAATAAAACAACTAAATAAAACAAAAAAACCAATAAAATAAATAAATATTTTGGATCTGTGTGAAAAGTTCCATGGAGCTTAAACAAAACTGATCTTATTAATCCTGCCTAAATGAATCTAACTACAGTAAATTTTATCAAAAATACGTCTGTTAGTGCGAAAAATAAAGTTCTCTTCTAATCCTTCATCTTGTACAAATTGCATGAAGTGACCCTGTGCCCATCGTTTAGTTTTTGTGCTAGTGCAGAATGTGTGATACATTTTGTTGTGAATGTTTAATTTTTCAGGCTTCTACGAACAGAATAGTAGACGTCGACAAATCGCGAATATAAACAGATCATCGGAATCGGCAGAGATCGGAACTACAATTTATGAGGATCCTAATAACGAAGCGAAGAACAATCAGTGGCGGAGGATATTACTACTCGTTGTTGCTATTACGGTATATTTCTACGAAATAATGAATAATTATGCAAACTATCTTACTATGTGATGTTATACACACACACACCACACACACACACACACTTACATTAAAGTTACTAATTAAAAAATATATACATTTCAATTTTTATATTAGGTACATAATATTCCTGAGGGTCTCGCGGTTGGAGTAGGCTTCGGAGCAATAGGCAGTAGCGTATCAGCATCTTTTGAAAATGCAAGGTAAAGTATGTGCACTTTGATAATTTATATGTAGATAGCATAAATGGCATAAATACATGTGTAGATAACGAATGTAAGAATTTTTAGTAGAGAATATAAAATTATATGAATAAAAAGACGTCGCGAATTCTTTAAAGCAAATTAGGGGTTACATTTTTGTTTTTAAAATATTCTCAAATTTTATTTAATATGAATAATAGGTTTATATTTGTGAAATCTTTTTTTTTTTTTAAATATACATACACACATACACATACAAATATATCAACATTTTACATTAGTAAAAATAATGGTACAAATTTCCTTTTTCAAAAAAAATTATCGATATCATAACAAATTTTTTTTTGTAAAAAAATTGTTGTCGTTTATTGTCATATATTGAATTTCACAATAAATAAAATATTTTTTTAATGACATAAACATATGTTGTGATATAAAGTTTTGTTGATATATTTGTGACTTATTAATTCATTATATGAATTTTTAATTCATTATACTGAAATTGCTGTTATAAATAGCATAATAAGTCAAATATGATAGTAAAAACATCTAATGTAAAAATAATGATTGAAAATCTAATGATATGACAAAAAAAAAGTTTAATGAAAATAATATATTCCCCCTAACTATATGATGACGTGATAATGCTAGCAATGTTTAATAATGGCTATATAGTATCAATAGTCGTTCAATTTTGCTTGTTCAATTGAATGAGTCACGAAGGTTAAATACGAAGTTAGCAAAGCGAAGATTTTAAATATTATCATAGACATTTTAGAATATTATCATAGGCATGTAGAATTGGAAAAAAGATAACACATTTGTTGATAATATTATATTATTTCCATTTTAATTCGTAAAAAGAAAACAGATTTTCGAATTTTATAAAAATATCGATATTCAATCTATTTTTATTGGAAATTGAAGAGTTATATCACAATATTTAATATTTATATCATTTTTCACAAATTGCAACTGTTATCAATAATTTCATATAATAAAATATTAAATAGTAAATTTTTAGAAAATAATATCGAAAGATATTTATATTTATATTATTACCCAAGTACTTTTATTATAATAAAAGATAAATTTTTTAATTTCTTAAAAAAAAAAGTGGGTTTATTAATGTGCAATTTGTATATACGCATTAGTATAATAACGAAATAAAAATATAATATTAGGGAAATTATTGAATATTGAATATAAAATATATTATATAATAATCTTATATTTATAAAATACGCAACTCGAAATATCGATTTTCTTTTAAATTTTATGAAAAAAATTCTCTCTCTCTCTTTCTTTTAAATATTGAAGTTTATATTATCTAATGTGGCTCACTTTTACCGTTCATCGTAAAACTTACATTCGATGCTAGATGGCAGCTGTGTGAAGTATTCGTAACATGGAGTAAAAATATAAACGAAAGGAAGCTGATTAGCGGTAAGAGTAGACTATAGATCATTTCAACTATAGACCAGTTTGATTCAGTATTATTCGGCTCATATCTTACGCCTAATTGATTTTCAGGCGACTCCACATATCTTTCATATGACTTCTTTGCCATCTTCCTTGTTGCCACTCCTTACTTGAATCTACTATCACAAATAAAGCAAGTAAGAACAACATGATATTACATTCTTAAATGGAAGAAATTTCAATAAAAAAAGAAGAAAGCAAACAAGTATGAGTCACATGATATCGAATCGAAATATCTTCGGTAAGATAAATTCTCCTAATATCAACACTCCTCGATTTGGCAATGTTTGCTATGGCTCATGTATATTCTTATATGTCGATGATTTGCGAGGTCACGAGTGATTGGCGAGCCGGCCGCGGCATGGTAGGAGGTCTCCATGAATGAGCTCTATGGTGGTCGACCGCGACCGCCAGTTGGAGGCGAAGTTTATTGGCTCCGGTTGGTGCCTGCGGCGCGCGGGCGCGCAGGGAGGGAAGGGCACGTGTGGCCCTGGAATCCGACGAGCCCTAGGCGCCGCGCATTCCATTCCAGCATCCCTCTCTCTTTCCTTCTGTCACCTACCTACCTACCTATCTACCTACCTACCTACTTATCTACCTACACCTACCTACCTACCTATCTACCTTCCTTCCTTCCTTCCTTCCTTCCTTCCTTCCTTCCTTCCTTCCTTCCTTCCTTCCTTCCTTCTTTCCTTCCTTCCTTCCTTCCTACCTACCTACCTACCTACCTACCTACCTACCTACCTACCTACCTACCTACCTACCTACCTACCTACCTACCTACCTACCTACCTACCTACCTACCTACCTACCTACCTACCTACCTACCTACCTACCTACCTACCTACCTACCTACCTACCTACCTACCTACCTACCTACCTACCTACCTATCTACCTACCTACCTACCAACCTACCTACCTACCTACCTACCTACCTACCTACCTACCTACCTACCTACCTACCTACCTACCTACCTACCTACCTACCTACCTACCTACCTACCTACCTACCTACCTACCTACCTACCTACCTACCTACCTACCTACCTACCTACCTACCTACCTACCTACCTACCTACTACCTACCTACCTACCTACCACCTACCTACCTACCTACCTACTACCTACCTACTACCTACCTACCTACCTACCTACCTACCTACCTACCTATCTACCTACCTACCTACCTACCTACCTACCTATGTACCTACCTACCTACCTACCTATGTACCTACCTACCTACCTACCTACCTACCTACCTACCTACCTACCTACCTACCTACCTACCTACCTACCTACCTACCTGCCTACCTGCCCACCTACCTACCTACCTACCTACCTACCTACCTACCTATCTATCTACCTATCACGTGCGCTTACATGTCTCGCTTCTTCTTTCACGCTGCTGCACTCACTTCGCTCTAACTCTTTTGCGATCGTCTTAGAATTCGCTTTCTTCAGCTTCCTCGCGTTTACTTTTCAATAATTTTGCCGTATCCCTCTCGATGTCTCACACGCAACTTTACGTCAACCCGATAATCATAATCACCCGATTCTTCCCGAGAAAGACTGTCGATATTTACGAGATATCCGATTTCTTTTAGACACATTACATTGTCCTAATTGGCAACATTTCGAATTGGTGTACTTTATCATAGAATATATTAGGTTTTCGACTATTTCCATTCTACTTTAACACAATGATTAATTTTCAATTGTAATTAAATTCATTTTTGCGAGCACTTACTGAACAGCATTTATTATACTGAATTTAAATGTATATTTTGTACATTAAAACTTCGAAATTACATATGAACGAAGAATATGCTTAGCAATCGCTTCGTATAAATTCGCTTTTGTATAAATAAAATCAAATTTGTCAAAGATTGATTTTGGGAGAAAATATATGATTTCTCAGGGAAATAAATAAAAATATATACAAGTAAATAAAAATATAAAATAATATATACGCGCGAACAATATATATTTTAATAGTAATCTTATATCATAAAATTTTTATAAAAATAGTACATTTTTGCCATCAAACACGTGTTCTTTTTAACGAGAGAAACTATAAATACGCATTGATTAATCTAGCAAAAGATTTTAATAGAATATTGAGTAAGCAAGAAAAAAAATCAAGTATGCACTTATTAGTGTATTGAGTGAATACGTGCAAACATTATTTCCCATTGATTTACTTGACTTTTTCATCATTATTATTTGATATATGATTCGACATGCAATTCGCATAGCACTTCCTATACACGGAAAAGAGGATGGGCGCTGTTTCTGACGACTTATTTACTATCGTTACGTGATTCGCGAGCGGATACGTGACATCGCGTTTATATATCGCTTCTGTACAACGGTCGACGTTGACTAAGCAACCTTTCTCCGTATCTAGTTGCGTTGAGAATTAAATGCTGATTTGTACAAGCAAGTTGTTTCTTCTTGTATAAGAAAAAAAGATTAGAAAAGATTTAAAATTTATTAAATGAGTAACGCCCAAGTAGAAAAATCATAATATTAAACAGGTTTTATATTTTAAAATCATACTAATAAGTATGTGTAAACAATAGAGGGAAATCAAATTATATAATAGAAATGACACGTACACTGATTTCGTAAAATGTTCGATGTTGTTCCGATCAAAAGCAACCTAATGACTAAAAAAAGTGATTATCATTTATTTATTTCACAATAATAATTTTCTCTATCGATAATAATCTATTTGTTTAATTTTCTCGAAATTTTATTCCAAGCTTGAGAATATAAAAGATCTTTTTCTTTTAAAAAGCGTATTAGAACATTGTTTCATATCAAATCACTCAATCAATCATGAACATTATTTGATGACAAATTATTTCTCTCCCTCTCTCTCTCTCTCTCATTTTTTATTGCAGCGAAATTATATATTAAGGATTATTTTAAATTATTATATTGAGACATTTTTTTATAATTATTATATATTTTAATAATGATTATCTTTCTTTTGTTATTTGTTTAATATGTGCCTAATAATTCCAATCCTTTGAGGTAAATTGAGGATAAAATAATCGAATGACATTACAGTGATAAACAAATTATTTGAGACTCGTCTTACACGTGTGTCTCCGAATATATATATAAAACTTAACATCAGATTCGCCGACACACGATGCAGAGCGGCATTCCAGTGCATTCAAATGACGGAGACCGCGAGAGCGATGTGGCCCCAGGCCTCGGAATCCCGCGGCGTCGGTGGCGAAGGGTCCCATTAAGAATCTGTAGATGAATGGATCGCATCTTCTGCGCGCTTTTCTTCTCCCGCTTTTCTTTCTTAACAACTAAATGTTAACTAAAAAGTTAACTGCGGTGTGAGCTCGTAAATCTTATTATCATATGCGTGATATTCTGTTAAGTAACATTAAAATATTATTTAATAATTGTAATCAAAAATCGCGAGCACGACGTTTAATTACGCACTCGCGATCTAATATAAAATTGAGTAACGCGAACCGCTATAATGAAGATA